CCTTGGCAGGAATCCAAATTGTAAAAAGATACCCAAGACCGGCTGAGTGGATCAAGGCCTTAGCAAAGCCTCCATTCGCCCGTGCCTCACATCCGTAAACCCACCATCTTTCAAGGGTACAGCTGCAACATCATGCACTCATGTGTTGGTAAGCACTCACACCAAGTGTCCTACGTATATATATATATAGATACGTATACGTATGAACTAGGAGAGGCGGGTTGTTTCATGTCGAGCTGCGAATCGCGGAAAATCTTTGAAGAATCTTTGGTGCGCAACACCTGGTAGGGGAATCCCATGTTCAAGGTCCTTTTTGGGTGGAACACTCCCCAAGGAAAACAGGCCATTGATTGTTTTTCCGGGGTCGACATGATGTGCTTTTGGCAAGCAGACGATGGCCACATAGTCGCTGGCTGGAGAAGCTGCCAGCTGGCTCTCTACTTTAGTTTGTGCAAGTTTGTTGGAAGAGCGGAACCCAGGCGGCTTACAATTTAGGCCTTTGCATTCCTCGTGGTTTGCTTTGCGAGAACAAGCTGTGAATCCTTGTTGTTTACACTTGTTGTTTGCAGACACAACTATATTGTACCACTATTCGGTCTTGTTCAACAAGGGGCAGAAAAGCGTTTCCGTTGTTTTGTTGTCCTTGGGTCGTGGGAGTTTCTCAAAATGATGGACCTCCTTTGTGGTCGGTATTTACAGGGAGTCAAAAGGACGCCATATTTTTAGGGGGCCTCTCCGAGAGTTACCCTCAGGGTCATCTAAATTCGGGGCGAGTTGGTTTTCGACCTGTCCAGGTGAAAGACAACAAGCCAGAGGTGCAGTGCATTGGCAACGACACGCGGCAAGACTTGAAGAGCATCACCAAGTTTGAGCTGAAGGCGGGGGGGAACAGCATGCCTAGCATCGGTCTGTCTGTTTGGAGGGACGGTTTTTATGGGCGACTTTTAACAGGAAACCAAAGGAACACCACCATTCTGGGAGGTCTCCAAACAGAAGACACGCCCAAATCAAATCAAGGGAATAAGGAAATAAGGGAAGATGGCCGCTATTGCAGGACGTGGTCTTCTACTACCCGGCCCGGCCGGAAGTCAAGATCTTGAACGGCCTGTCAATGTCAATCACTCGCGGTCAGAAAGTAGCCGTGGTTGGCGAGAGCGGCAGCGGCAAGTCTACCGTCATGGCGTTGCTGGAGCGTTTCTACGATCCCAACACTGGCACTGTGCTGGTCAACGGCCAGGATGGGTAATGCGGGCTGCAAGGGGGATGGAATTCTGTTTAACGGGCACGTTATACTAAAATAGCCGTACTTCGAGCAAGATATAGGAATTAGGTTGAATGTTGCCAATGGGCAGTTGATGAGGTTGTGAAACTCTCCGTGTCGTGCTGGTTGACTCCCGCATCTGGCGTTCTGCGTTGTCTTTGCGTTTGACATTTTAGGACAAAAAACATTATAATGATGTTGGGTGTTTGTTTCGAAGGATCCCTGGTCCCTATCATGGTCAGTGTCTCGTTTGGAGGAGGTTTTGCCCCCATCTCAGGAATGAACAGCGCCCTTTCTGGCGAGAGAGGTGGCTTGGGGTGGTATATTGAGACCTGTTCACCGCGCAAGCTGACCTGGGACCTGTGAAACACAGCATGGATAACCTGCAGTTTCAGCAGAGTAGATCACAAGTCACCTTGTATGGCCAGTTAGCACTGTCATGTGTTTTGTTTGATCAGCATCGCTTGGCCTTCTCAAGGTGTAGCTGGCTAAACCTGCAGATGGCTGGCTGGGCTTTGATGGCTGGTCGTGTTGGGTGTAAATTTGACAGTAATGGGAACCCAGGCTGACTCCCAGGTTAACCGTTGCAGAGCTCAGCGAACCGGTCCCTTCCGTTTCGACTGGTCAAACCCGGCATATGGCAGAACCAAGGTGCGGACGGGCCCCGTAGATTTCCTTTCCTGGCACCCTCCCACCAACCAGTAACTATAATATATGGAAGTGCACATTTGGCCCCTTTCCAAGAGGAAAGCAGTATTTCCGTAGGGGTCTGTGCACCGAACCATGTTAGTCGGTGGAAGCTTAGTAACCTTTTTCTGTGGAGGGTATAGAGTGGCATTTGTGTCGGGCTCGCGCCTAGTGCCCTGGGGTCTCGGGCTTAGACTTCTGTTTAGAAATGGCTGCGGCTCAAAAATGGCACCTTGGTAAGTGGAAACACGGACTAAACCTGCGTAGCGCTAGGTCTTGAGTCTTGAGCCAAGCCCAAATAACATATGGGGCTTCATGGTTATGGCGTTTGTCTTCCAAATGGCACCAACTCCAAACAAGGCGCTTGGAAATTCGATCACAATGGACACGCGCCTTGCTTTGCTTGGATATATTTGTCAGCGCGACAGGTGGTTGGCCTGCTGAATTGTCGACGCCGTTCAATGTCATGAGTAATAAATGCTGTGCAGCATGTGGGTTCATCCGTGGAGTGCATGGTCATGCATGTCACGATGTGATGAGGATGATGCGGATTTCCTCATGCTCGATGACAAAAGACACCCCGTGGATTTGAGATGTCCATGCCTGACGTTTTTCCTGGATCGTGGCCTCAGAAAAGCAAGAGGAAACAGCACCACCCAGTGCTGAAGTCTCATTTGCCGGAAAGTAGCTGTCCTTGAGAAATGGATGCTGAAAACGGACAGGTTGGTTTTGCCTTAGCTGAGAAAGGTATCGCTGAGTGGAGTGTTTAGGGGGAAAGGGCCCCCTTCCTTTACACAGCTTGCAGGGGAGTATTGCAAGTAGAATGGCCACGGATTATGGTCAATCACCAGGATTTCTTCCATTCTTCTTGCTATGTTTAAGAAGTCAAGCATACCCTTCTCTAGACCTGGGACGTTGACGTGTCGACATCATTTTATGTGTTAAGGTTCATGATATATTTTCCGGGCAACAGCTGAGGTAGAACCAATCATCCCCGACAAGGAGTTTAGCATGTCCGGTAAATGATGTCCGTCAAGAGTCCCCAATTCAAATCAAAATCCCTACCCAGTCATGAGCCACACTCAGTTTGCCGCTTGCTTTTTGCCGTCAGCCATCCACTAAGCTGTTGACCCTCCGAAAAGTGCGCTCCTATCTATCTGCGGGGTAGTTTTGTGGATCGTGCGGTCAGCCCATCGACAAGACGACTATTGAAAGCAGCAGCTGCCCTAACAAGACATCTTTGATAGCTTTCTGCAGGGTTTTGTTTGCCTGGGGGGCTGAAAGCTTGGCTTGTGGATGATATTCTAAGCGGCTAGGGATACCTGGCCAAAGTATGCCGCGCAAGCCGCCCATCCAGAACTAACTTGAGAGTAGCTCACATGAAAGGGTTTCATGCGTTTGGGGTTGAGAACCAAAGCAACCCTGCGATTAATTTGTTTGGCAGCGTACTGCAACGAATTGTCATTCATGTGATGTGTCTTTTTGATGTGTTGCTCTGCTTATGTCGAATCGAAGGATCCATAAGTGGAGTTCCAGCCCACAGATTCCACGTGGAGTTCCAACCCGGAAAAAAACAGAACCAAGTGGAGTTCCCACTCATTGATTCATGCGGTTTCACTCATAGATTCATGCAGTTCTTGTGGCAAGTCCTTGTCTTTCTCCGGAGTTTCGGATCGATGCGAGGACATGAAGACCTTCAAGACCACCGCCCTGCGGCGCTGCATCGGCTACGTGGGCCAGGCGCGTGGTGTTTTTTCTTCGATGCCGAAAGGTCGCCTTGGGACACAAGCGACGTTTCCCTTTGAACGAATCATTCAGGCAACCGCTTCATTGGTTTAGATTGGTTTGGGGAGAACCCCTGGTTTGTAGAGGGTTAATGGGAACACATTTTTTAGCCACCACCTCCAAACCGCAATGCTTCTTTCAGCCACGCAAGACATGTGCAAGGCCTAGGCTTTGTTAAATTGCCCCTCGCCTTGCCCCTAAGTTAGCCAATTTGAAAAAAACAACTATTTGTCCTTTTTGCCTGTGCGCCAGTTCAAGAACTCACTGAGGCCTTCCCGGAAATGAGCCTGCTGGTGGGGCTAAGTCTAGGGGCAAAATAGAGGGACCGCAGATGGGCGGCCTTAGTAGCAGCGAGCCATTTCTTGGGGATGGTGCCCTTGCGATGGCGAGCTTTATGATGTGCCTGCGTCGCTCTTTCCATCGCTGGCTTTTGCGCGAATGCCTTGAAGGAGTTGCATTGACAGGCTGTAGCATTCGGAGCGCTGTAAAAAGGTTGATGTAGCCTGTTTCAGTTGCCCAGTGGCGGTTCTGGCCGGGTCTCAAAATCCGAGTTTCAACCGAAGGGGTGTCCGGTTTTGACATCGATCGCTTGAAAGGCTCTCTTTTTTTTGGCAGGGAAGAGCAACCCAAAGGCTTTTGTCATGGCATGTTGAGCAAGTCATGGAAGGATGATGTTTGGGGAAGGCCATGATTTTTAGTTGTTTTTTTGTTTGTTTGTTTTTTTCCCGTTTTTTTTTTTGGGGTGGGTGGCTTTTCGGCTTTTCGGCTTTTGTGGCTTTTACGCGGGTTTTTGTGGCTTTTGTGGCTTTTCATTTCGCATCCTTTGCATTCACAGTTCCTCTCTGTTTGTCTTTGCAGGCTTTTCGCATCCTTTGCATTGCCAGTTCCGCTGCAGCAGGCGGCTTTTTGGCTTCGTGGCTTTTGGCGGCTTTCTCAGTTGGTTTTTGACAAAAAAATAAACGTAAAACAAAAACAACACAAATTAAATCTCGACCCGATTATAGGTGTCCTTTGTAGGTCAGTTGGGGGTGTGTTTTGGTTCTTTGGAGTGGCCTCATTTCTGGGGGGTTTAAAGGAACACCAAAAGGGAAACCTTTTTTCTGTTTTGGGGGGGGTGCCTGAAAAAAGCCACACTTATGGATCCTGCTTTCAGTTTGGTTCCTTTTCGTTTGCCAGCGGATCCTGCCGATTTGTCCAAAAGACACGAGACGATCTCCGGGAGTTCGAATGGCATCAGGGCATTCTCAGAAAATTGGGAGTACAAAACGGTGGTGCCATCCAAAAAGTGGTTCCTCTGCACAGCCAAGTGAGTGTGTTTCTTTTTTCAGTGGCCCAAGCTGGACCTCCAGATCTTTTTGGATTTTCTCCAAAGGGTTATAACCAGAAGAATTCAAGGGTGCTCTCCACTTGGAGCATTTAGGATTTTCTCCAACCAAATTGTGAACCCTCCCACCGGAACCTGACGCTCGGGACTCGGTCCTTTAAAGTTGAACATGGTCTTTTGAGTCTTCCCCCCCCCCCTCTGTCAGGTCGACCGAAGGGTTCCACGTGTTAGTTGGTGGGTACCAGAACCCTGTCAGGTTCATGTGTTTCTTTTCGTGAAAAGGCTGGGAGGCTCTTCGGGGAACCAGACTTCAACTGGCCAATTGGGTATGGGTCAAAATGAAACCACCAGGAAATGGACCGCAGGTTTTAGCCCATGTTTCCATTTACCAGGGCAAGCCATTTTGGGCTCGGTGACCCTATGTTTGACCCACAGCCTGTTTTTCTGTGCGGTGCAGGAGCCGGTGCTCTTCGCGAGCTCCATCAAGCACAACATCATGCAGGGCTGCCCTGAGGCCTCCAAGGAGGACGCCCCCGGTGAGGTTTCGGTGATGATGGTGTCGGAAAGGGGAGGGTGCCGTACGTCCTGCTTTTGGAAGACGAGAAAGGTTGCTTGAACAGGAAGCCAAAGGCAATCCAGGCATTTTGGAGGATTCAGGCTGGTAACAAAAAACTGGTACTTTTTGTGCTTTTCTTGCTGTTTGCTGCTGGGCTGTGATGCGTCGAGTTGCAGTTGTGAGCAGGGCATAGCTTTTAAAGTTCCACTTGCCGTGTCCCAGAGGCACATGCGATTTCTTCCAGTTGCAGAACGTAAGATCAGACGGCCCCAGGGTGCAACTCTCTCAGTTCCGAATGCGTCAAACTGTGCCTTTGCGAGGGGATCTCTTCTCGAGGCAACCCAACATGCAAATTGGTCCAAATCCAACTTTTGGGTGTTTCTCAAGACCCCGCAAAAGGTCACAGGCTGTTAAAAAACCTGGAGGCGCAAGCTGTGTCACACGTGTTTGCCCTGGCTTTTCTGCATTTGTCATCTCTGGCTCCTGCCTGGCAGTGAACTGGAGAATTAGGACAGCATTGTGTTTGTGCCAAAATTGTCAAAAACCAAGTTTTTTGTTGTTGCATAGTTCTGTTCAATTGCTCGAAAATATTGAATCAACAAACTGCAGCCAACGCACGGCAGAAGTCCTTCTCGAAGCTGATACTTGAAAGAAGCGATCCAGGTAGCAAAACACGTTAGACGTGCAGCTGAGTTGGTATATCGTCTTGCAATGATGCCATTTGTCCATACATTGAGTCCCCGCATGTCCCCGCTATGAAGCAAGCGGGTCGTTTGCGTGCTCCCCTCGTCACAGAGACTCTTCTGGCAAATTCAGATTGGTGGGATGGACATGGTATGGTGGCGCTCCAAGACTCCAGATGTTTTTTCCAGCATTTGCAACACACATTGGCCATGCATCAACTTGTGTGCACTCGTGTTGATGTGCGTGCAAGCCTTTCAGAACGACGGCAACATGCTCCACTCCCCTCCCCCACCCGGGGGCTCCACCCCTTCACCCCTCCTCCGAGCCCCTTGGACCCGAAATAGGGCCTCGAACCTTGGGACCTTTTTGGCATTGACGCAAAAGCTGGCAGTGTGAATCCGAGGTCCGAGTAGAGAAGGTAAGCCAAGGCGCCGGAGCCAGACGTTTTCTGCGGTTTGGATGTGGCTTTTGTGGATCCACCCCTGGGTACTAAATGCTTGCTATCAAAAAGAAAGGACCAACAGGCGGACATTTGGTGAACTCCACGAAAAGCACGCATCCGACACCGTTTTCTAGAGGCTTGGTTCACTTCACTTTTCTTGGCAAGTGCTTGTTTTGTTCTGTTCATGTTTGCCTGGACCCCCCAAGTGGCCCCTTTTTGTTTGCCTTTGTACCCCTTTTGTTATGGGTAGGCAGAAAAACATATTGGCTTTTGGGGGTCCATCATCTCATCGGCCAGGACTTTGTCCAGGCCTGCGCCGATGCTCAGCTGGGCTTTGTGGACAACCTCCCGGAGAAGTACAACACCTTCGCGGCTTGACAGAGTCGGAGCCTGGTGTATGACATGAGCCACGATCGATATTTACTGGCATTTGCTGACATGCAATCATACCGCAGTGCCGTTTTCGCTGCACCTAGTAAACAGTTGGGCTGACGGCTCAGAAGAGTCCGAAAAGACCAAGACTCTTCAATCTCTTACCCAACCACGTGAAAACCTCGAACGCGCTCCTTGATCCCTTAAACTTGCGCGTCAAGTACATGTATTCATCCTTAAAACTCGAGAAGCAAGGGGCTAAAGCCAAACCAATTCGTGGTTCTGTTTGTCATGCAGGCTTGCGCTGCTTCATTGGCTTCTAGGTCCACACCCGGGCAGTATACGTTGCTCGCCAGTTGAAAGGCGCCAACATTCGTGGTTGGTGTCATGCCCACGTTCCAGTTGCCCAACAGCAAACCAACACACAACCAATCCTAATTAAAGGAGGAAACAGTAAAGAGGGAAGGAGGAAAGACGTTTGTACTTTTGCAAAGGACACCTTTGGGTTTAAGTCTCACTCGGGGAACCTACTGAGGATGGGCGAAATCCATTTCGCACCTAAGAAGCCCTACAGTGATTCCCCCTGTAAATACCAAACGTGATGGTTTCAACTTCAGAAACTTAACCAAACGTTATGGATGGTTCAGCTTCCAAAATACCATGGGTACTTTGAATGATTTGAATACCATGGGTTTCCATTTTGGATGATTTACGGATTCCCCCTGTAAATACCAACCTTCTGGTTTCAACCATGGTATTTCGGATGCTTCAAGGTGTTCAGAAAAATCCCGGCTCTAGCCACCTCTCTCGGCCTCAGGTGGGAGCTGGAGGGGGCCAGCTCTCCGGTGGCCAGAAGCAGCGCATTGCCATCGCCCGGGCCTTGCTGAAGAAGGCCTCCTTCCTCTTCCTGGATGAGGCGGAAGGGGCCGTTTTGCGCGGTTTTCGCCGGTTTGCGGCTGGGTTTTGTTGATGCCAAGAGCTTTGCATTGAGGCGCATTAAGGGCCCGGCCTCGTCCCCTTGTGGGGAAAGGCTTGACCAGAAGCCTGAAAATTGGCTGAAACGAAGATGTTCCCATTGGTTTTAAAGGGAATCGATTTCACACTGGAATCGATGAGGCGGGTTTGGCCGTTTGCCGACGGTCCCCGCCTGCGGTTTGCGGGTTGATTTGTTGATGCCAAGAGCTTTGCATTGACTGAAGTGAACTCTTTTTTTTCTTTCGAATTTTCCCCTGTTGGCTTTGAGCGGGGGGGCGGCCCCCTTTGGGATTGAACACACCACATGATAAGCAAGGCCCCGTTGTGGGTTTGAACAAACCAACAGAAACGGAAAGCGCTGGTTTGGAGTTCAGTTGAAGGGTTTCAGTTCAGGCAAAGATAACCAGGTTTAGGGGCTGAACGGTGACGATTCACGAGAACTTGACAGCTTCAGGCCTTTGTCGCATGGTCTTGCATAAGGTCCACAAGCCGCATGTCAGATATGCAATCTGATAAAGACATGACAGCTTATTTCTCAGAATATAACGTGCGTTCGCACTCTGTGCCGGCGCTGGAGAGTGACTGACCAAAGCACGAGGAGATCAATATGAGGAGAAAGGGAAGGCTGTCAGCATCACCAATTTCAAGCCGCAGAGCCGTGTAGTGTTAGAATAGAAGTCAGAAAATGTCAGAACATGTGGGAGTTGATCAGAAGGTCCTTATAAGGACGTATACAGTGGAGGACCATAGAACTGCGGGCGTTTGTGGGGACATGCTTGCACATACCCCGCTCCCTTGTAGACATGGAAATGCGTGGCACGTCGACTTGCGTCCTTGATTCCCAGCCTATGCTGAGAATGGTGCAAAGCAAAACGTTGGCTGGGCTATTTCGGAGCAAGTTTCGTGAAAGATTCACGAAGAACCGATGCAAGCCTATGGAGTTTGTTGCCGCGCGTCACGGCAAGCTCAATTGGAAAGGGCGATTGATAGGGCCTGCTTTCATTTCGCGTTGCTGCAACTTGCCAGTGCAGGTGAACGGCGTGGTTGCTGGGCTTGCAAACGCGACTGCAACAGCAACACTTGCTCCAGAGCGCATGCTGGAAACAAAAGAGCGTGGCGATGGAGTCGCAAAAGACTCTCTCGCAAAAACGGCGTTTCCGGAAACAGGAGTTTTGACCAGCCTCCATGTGTCGGAATGTGTTTCAGAAGTTGTGTCACAATCTATGCCAAGGAACGTGTCAAAATACGGTGTTTGGGCCGCGTTTGTGGCATTCTGTGTTTGGCGCGCCGGTGTGCATCAGGACGGTATAGAAGCTGTGGATTTCTTTCTGAAAGCGCTGTGAGCGCTACGCTTTTCTACGCATCTTTGTGTTGGGACATTGATTCAAGGTGGGGCCCCGAGTTGTTTTTCTCCTAGGTTTGGCGGGCTGGGTCGTGGCAGGGTCCCCGGTCGGTCGGTCGGTCGGTCAGTGGGTCGGTGGGTCGGTCGGTCGGTCGGTCGGTCGTCGTGGGCGGGTGCTTCTTTAGCTTTCGCGGCCTTTTGCGTGCTTTTGTGGCGTTTGGTTTGCCTTCCCACATCGTCAACTAGCATCTCTTTTAGGGTAGTGTTTGCAACCCACCCAAAACCAGCACCCTAATCCGACGAACCCTTAACCCCCCTCATCAAACCAGCGCTTAAGCGTGCTGAGGCAGCCAAAGCCTGCTACAACCCCCCAAACCCACCCTAAACCACCCTCATCCAACTCTAAACTCCCACTTCACCCAGCGTAAACCGCAAATAAAAACTCACCCTAAACCCACGCTAAATCCGCACTGAAGAAACGAATCCAAAACCCGGCCTAAACCAAGTTTACACCCACCTGAACCAGCTTGAAGCCACCTCAAGATCAGCCCTAAGCTTAGACCAGCACTAAA